TTTTTTTTAACATTGATTAAAATTGATGATTAAAATAGTTTTGAAAAAATAGAGGTATTGAATATATTTTTCTAGAAATTCTTAATGATTAAAGTTAGGTTATAGATATTGATGTGGAATTATCTTAAATTCTTAAGGTAATTAATTGGTTAGGTGATTTTGAAGAATATAATATGTTCTTAATTAATTAAAATTGATATACGTTTTGAAAAAATATTGTGTTAAATTCTTGCAAAAGTGAAAGTTTCTTTGAATTCTTTGAAGATAGTTTTCTAAATATTTGAGATAATTAATTGGTATTTGAAAAGAAAAGAAATTCTGAATTGAAGTAATGAATTGATATATGTTTTAAAAAATGATAATTATTTTAAATTTTTGCAGGAATGAAAAAAAACAATTCTTTCTGAATATTTAATCGCTATGTACTTTTGAAGAGAAGATATTCGAACTCTTCAAGAACAAATTTCCCGAATATTAAGATAGTTAATTGATACGTGTTTTGAAAAAAGAAATTTGATTGTACGATGTTGAATTATTTTGTGATTTTCCTCGAGACCTTGATAAATTTTGCTCTCGAAGCGATATCTAAGTTGCATAAATATATGATCTCATGCATCCTTTGAATCGTTTTCCAATTGCAAACAATTCTTCAAGATTAAATACCCGATTTGTTTTCTTTCGTTTCCAATCACACGCGTTTCAATCGTATTCCCTCTATCACACATGTATCATAAATAATTATTTTTCTTTTTTCTTTTGACCTTGATAAATTCTCAAACAAGTCCCCGTCTCTAAATTATCACGTATTATGCACTATCTCCGTACGCAATCGAATCTTCAGACTAAACAACCAACGTGTCGTTCGCTCCTCGAACGATGGTGCGACACATCCGCGTTGCGCATCAATCCTTTATCGTTGTAAATTATGAAAAAATTATTAAGAGCTGTTTTATTCGCGCGAAAAGCGTTCTCTTCGAAATGCAATTGGAATAAAGCGCGGAGAGAAAATGGATTTCGAATGAAATGAATGAAATGATTGAAATTTTCGAGCAAATACACGAGGAATTCCGTTACGAGTCTCGAGATTCGAATCTCGATTTGCATTTACTCCTAGCTGAGCAAGAGTGTTGGCCACAATAATATCGTGGCTTTGTATAATTCCAACCGTATGAGATCACGGAACGGTCGAGCAACGAAAAACTCGAGAAAGTCATTACACAGCGCGGTGTTTTTGCTTTTTTGCACTCATTACTCCGAAACGCCATGCGGAGAGATACAATCGCGCTCGTGTGTTCGAATACGAATATAAATTATTTACGAAATGAATTCGTAATACCTTGAAAAATTGAAACCTCATTCATTGCAAGAAGAAACGCGGCAAAGATGTATTAAGGAAAAATTAAAATTTAGAGAAATCATTGTGCAATGCGTGAATGCAATTTCTTTTTTATTTGAAGTAAAAAAAAAAATCTCGGCAGAAGGAAAATTTTATTGTTAAAACTCAAGACCTTGAAAGACCAATTGTAATCGTAGGTCAACGAATTCGTCTCATTGGGATGAGCTCCACGCCTAGTTGAACGAGAATATACAGTTTCATCTAAAAAAAAATAAAACTTGCCTCGAATCTTGGTCTTGTACAAGTAGTTAAACAAGACTTGTATTCGTAATAAGACATCCTCCAACATCGTGATTTCTATTAAAAAAAAAAATATATTCTTTCAAATAAAATAAAATTTACCTTGAGATAAAATCTCGTTTTCCAAAAATACGATACGATATTTAAAATATATTCTTGTGTAAATATCGATATATATTCATGGTATATAAATGAATCACTAATAAAATTTCTTCACCATTGTTCGAGCATCGTAAATATAAAAAAAAAAGTTCTTGAGTTGTACTACATTTACTCGAGTTATACGTTATAAAATTGTAAACCACTCCTTGTCGAAGATAATTCACCGATAACATCAACAAATCACTAATAAAATTTCTCCATGATTGTTCGCATTCGAACAACCGTGAAACGTGTACAAAAGTAAAATAAAATACTCGATTTCCCAAGCTATTGTATTATATTATAAAACTGTAACTTTTTTTCGCAATATCGAAGATAATTTATTAAGGACAAATCTTAAAAATCGATAAAATTTCTCCATGATTGTTCCCATTCGAACCACCGTGAAACGTGGTACAAAAGTAAAATAAAATACTCGACCTCCCAAGCTATTATAAAACTATAATTTTTTCGTAATATGAAAGATAATTTATTAAGAACAAATCTTAAAAATCGATAAAATTTCTCCATGATTGTTCCCATTCGAACCACCGTGAAACGGTTTAATAAAAATAAAATAATAAAATACTTGATTTCCCAAGCTATTGTATTACATTATAAAACTGTAACTTTTTTTCGTAATATCGAAGATAATTTATTAAAAACAAATCTTAAAAATCGATAAAATTTCTCCATGATTGTTCTCATTCGAACCAGCGTGAAACGGTTTAATAAAAATAAAATAATAAAATACTCGATTTTCCAAGCTATTGTATCACATTATAAAACTAACATTTTTCGTAATATGGAAGATATTACGATGTATTATGGAAGTTCGACAACGGATCACCGATAAAATATCTCCATCGATCGTTGGTAAATGTAAAATAGAGTGCTCGATGCGAAACGATTCTCGAGCATTCCCCTATCGATTCGTGGCCTTCCGGATGCCACGAGGGGAACGGCGATGCGTTTCGTATGCAAAAATGCGGCTGCAATCCCTTGGCGGATCGCGGCCGATCGTCGCACACCATAGAATTCGAGAAAGTCGGGGAGAGCATAGAGAGGCGGTGCGAGCAACCGGTAGGCGTTTCAAGCTTGAGTAAATGCATAACTCGGCTTGCACAACAACCACGCCACGCCACACCGTAACGCGCGCAATATTGTTTTCTTTCCGTTTGCCTTCCTCGTTCGTTTGCCGTCCTCGCGTGGCAACGCCGTCGTCGCTTCTCTCACGTTCGGCCCGCTCTTATCCAGTTTACGACCGATGCCTACTCTTATTTACGCCACGTTACTTTTTCGAGGCGAGAGGTTTTTAACACATTTGCTAATGAGACGGACGATTCGTCGATCGATTTCCCGTCGGAGGATGGCCAGATGTTCGATGAATTCTGTGATGATCAACGACAGGAGACGATGCACTTTTCGCGTCTTCCGTACTTTATAGGAATTCTTCGATGAAATCCGATTTTTACGGTCGAACGTAAAATTTTGCTAAAGGTGATAAAATTCTCGACGGATTTCATTTCTCGGGAAGAACGATTACGAGGATGTATCTTTCGTGTGATGTTTCTGTAATGTAATAGCGAAAGATGACTTCCCTTCATTAATTCACGTGTCTTCTATGTTTTTTCGTGAAAATACATGATGATATCGAATATTTTCAATAATCGCGTTGAAATCTAAAAAGTTTCGAAATTCAAAAATTCTGACGAGAATACGTTACATAAATCGTGAACGGTTTTTACGATTCGAGTATTTTTTCTCGAGCTTCCGGAATTCAATCCCTCGTTAAAATTTACAAACTGCGGAATAAATTATCGTTAAATTATGCGTATCGAATATATATATATATATATATATATATATATATAGATTTGAACGACAGGACATCTCAACTAAAATCCAATTCTTCTTATCTCTTTGTTCGTCGTTTAAAAAAAATATTTCTATTTCATTATTAACAGTATACTATAATATTCGTTCAAGATTTACGCGAAAGGACAAGGAAGATTTTTCCGTTCAACTCTATGTAATTTTATAATCATCGAGCATGCTCTGATTGCACCGTATATTATTATAACGAGAAACATTATATACTAATTGATACAGAGAATCGGACCGTGTGTAACGCGAAGTGAAAAACGAGACAGTTATCGATATCCTCCTGGCGTGATGGGATGGAATACGTGGGATAGGTGGGAAGGTACGTCTAAGTTGACCCGGTTACGAATTACCCACGATCGAAGTGGCGCATTTCGCCGGGTCAACGCGCTCCGTTTGACTTCTCTCTCACTATTTTCGAGCTCTCGTTTTATTAAACCGTGGTTCGCGTTACGACTCGTATCGTTTTTCGTCGATCAACATCCACGCTCGAAAACTCTTTATTAATCAATCTCTGCGAACATTCGAGAGTTTTGCTCACGAGCAGAGAATTTCAATTCGATTTTCAAAATTTGATAAAAATTCGAATGTATAATAGGCGATGAGAGATAAGTTATTTAGAATAAATTGAAAATGTTGAATTATGAAAATCTTTTAATCTCTTAATAACGTTTATTAATTATTGTGATTATTAGTTATTTAAGATAGAAGGAAAACGATGAAATAAATAACTTGTGATAAACTATCACACGAATATCATTCGGATCCTTTTATGGATATATATATATATATGTATGTATATATATGTATAAATATCTTTTTGTATCTTAATTGCTTTAGAAGTTTTTTAAGATAAGAGATTATTAGATATTTATTAGCGTTTTATTAACAATTATGTATAAAAAAATTAACTCGTCGTTTAATCGCAACATTTTTATCCCGATAAAATGACACTTTGTTGTAATCTTTTGTCGTCATGTCGTCATTTCATATTTTTGATTCTGTCAATAATGGCGCGATTTCTAATCGTTTTGTTCCTCAATAATTTCGCGCAACAGATTATTCCATTTCCTCGTTTCATTGCAGAAATCGATATATCTTTCCGACAAATCTTTACTTAAAGAAAAAAAAA